AGTGTCTTACCACTACACCACGGAGACTGCTATTCTCTTGGGAGTACTTGGTGTACTCTGGGGAACCATTAATAGGCTCTTGGGAGTGCTCTTTGGACTATTAGGTCTCTTAGGAGCACCTGTGGGACTCTTAGGTCTCACTGAGGAATCAGTATTTGACTGATTGTTGTTACATTGAGTATTAGCACCTTGGTTACCTAGTGACAGTGTCACTTTAGGAGTTTCAGGCAAGGAAACTGATGTAGGTACAGTTTTGGTGCATTCAGATTTAGCATTAATTGCTTGGTCTGCTGTATGATTGCTCATATTACGCAAACCTGTAAATATATCCTGCATTGACAGGGTATTACCATTCTGGCATACATATAGTTTATTAAGTGTGTCACCAGACAATTTTCTTTGGATGATAATTTTAGTCATCCACTCAGTAGTTGGGTGATCCACCTCTTTACTGAAAGAATTTATCAGTGACTCAAGCTGAAAACTAAAGTCTTGTAAAGAGTCAACTGATTGCTCTGGTGAAGATAAATTTAATAATTGGTGCACAAGGTTTATAATAGTCTTCTCATTGTCAGCACTTACTTTAGAAGGCTGTTGGGAGCGATTGTGACCATTACTTGTGTTGCTTAAGGCTTCTTGCTTAGCCTCAGCTTTGATTACAGCTTCAGCTGCTGCTGCAGCATTAGCTTTATCATTTTCTGGTTCAGATTCACTGATTATTGCAGCTTCACTTGTTTCATCTGTAGCTTCACTTGTTTCTCTGGGTTCTGGTGATAAGCTAGTTAATTCAGTAGCATTATGTATTGAACTTATAGAATCCAGGGAACATTGAGAAGAGTGGTCTGAAATTTGATCAGACTCTGTAAACAAATCATCACATGAAGCTGTATTAGATGAGAGGTTAGAAAATGAAGGTTGATCTTCAGTTGTTGATCTTGTATAGTGATCAGCATTGATTAGAGGATTCTCCTCGTCTTGATTTAGCTCAAGTATTTCATCTGAGCTGAGTGTTAATTTGGATACAGGTCTATTAATGATCTGATCCACCCACTCGGGAATATCTTGCTTCGCAAGCACCTCCTTATATCGGTCTAAACTGGTTTGAACAGAATGTTCATAGTTATCGAGATCAGATTCTGTTAGACGTGAGTGGTCTGAGACAGTATGATCGGCCTGGAGTAAATTCCTGTGGGTCTCGATTACAGTCTTGATGTAGTCATATTTTTGGCTGGCGATCCTTATGGAACTTGCTAGTCTATAGACGTCACCTGGGTCAGTTTCGACACAGAAATGACATTTCATAAGCAGTTTTCCTAAAGGACCTTGAAGAGCTGTCAAGAATCTTGCGTTCCTTTCTAAAGGATTCATTCTTGCGGTAAATTGAGCCTGATAGGGCTTATGTAGCTAGTGGTATAGCTATAGTTTCTGCTCCTTGATGTAGAGCAGGTATAAGTATTGACAGCCTAATATTCTTGAGGCTGGTTGCAATTTACCTCATTTAGGGGTTAGCTACCTACCTAATAATAAGCAACTAAGATTTGAGTGGTACCTTAGTCTCACTACAGGTGTTCCTCAGCTTAGCTCTTCTAAATCAGCCTCGGATGGGTAGTGGACTTACAGTAACACTCAAAGACATACATAGAAATATGCAATAAAATAATTACACAATAAATGGTTAATCCCACCCTTGATAGGGTCAGCACAAAAGAATAATATATGTGTCACTAACTAGCTCAAGCCTAGTCGTGAGAATTTCTACTTGAGAAACTACAACTATATTTAGTCTGTGCTTATGCCAGATTCAACACAATCACAGCCTAAATTGCTACCTACTGAAGGTTGGCAAAATTATATTATGGTGCAGTAATGTGCAAATAATTGTGCTGTGTTTTTGTTTTTTTTGTATTTTATATAATATACACTTGTGTAATTATGTGTATAAGAAATTAAATGAACACAAAAGAATTAATTGTGTTTGGCAAGTATTCTACTGCCGTAAATATTACTTAACTCCTGAATGTACTCCTAATTGTGGAATAAAATATTATCAGGGTTAGTAATGATTAACTAGTATGAGATCAGTAATTTATATTAGTATACTGGATCCCTAAATGTTAATGATCCACTGACTTGAGTGAATCAGTAATTATAACATGGATTCAGGCTATAATAGACAGTCTGCTGACAGCCATATATTGAAACATTGGTATAGCCTAAATGGTTAACACTTAATTGGTGTTAGTGATTAATATAAGGTTATGAGCTGTTGCTCTTGGTGACCTAAAGATTCTACTTCAGTATGAAGTGTAGGTCTAAATGTTGGGTAATTGGCTATGACCCACTAAAGCTATGTATACGGTAGCTATGTTAGTGTGATCTAGATTAACTGATGTGTTACACTGTTAGTTGACACAATTAAATAGTTAGTCTAGCTTCTATCACACAAGGATTAGTTATTAATGGTTAATATTTTAATTATAAATTTAATGCCTATCCGGTTCGAAGGACCATAATGTGGGATATTTGGGCTTGATTCTGATTAATTAATAATTAAAATAGTAAATTAAATTACGAAGGACCACCCGCTTTTAAAGTAAAGAGGGAAACTGAGAATTTCAGATCATTAGATAAAATTCTAGAGAAAACCAGTGACTATGGATATGACTAGAAAGTATGATCATAAGAATAATTAATGGGCTGTATTATTAAAGAAACAAACCTCAAACACCTACATTGGGGGGTTATTACTGGAGGTCAGTACGTCCAGGAATCAGTGTGGTTCGTTCACTAATTCAATTAATAATAATCTAATCCTATAAATAATGCTGAATATAATATTGTTCATATAAAGAAGGACATGAATATGAGCATAGCAATGAGTTACAGTAAATCACACATTATGTTGAAACATTCTGAATGTATCAAATTGCTAGAATATGGAAAAAAGAAATAAGCCTTAGCTTGTAGTAGGTTCCTTTAGATAACCCTGGTAGTCCTCTTAATCTCCAAGTCTGGTACACTGACGAATGGCACGGTTAACATGGAGAAGACAGCATGAGGAATTCGTCTTTCGAGCTGCAAGATAAATAACTACCAGTAGCAATTGATTTAACTACTCAATTCATATTCAAGATTATTGATATCTACAGATGGAATTCTAATCACCTGTTATTAGGTGTTATCTCGCCGCATGACGCACAATCACCCCGCTATTATTAAACCTGTAAATGATGCATCAAATAAAGGGTACTTAGCTGTGGGCACTGTATAAGTATTAAGATTGCCGTAATTTCGCAACCCAGGCTCCGGTGAACCTATCCTAGATTGATGCGTTTCAAGCTGGCTGATCATGTGTCGTCAGGAACCAAGTCTAGGGTCCCTCTTTTAACACCAGCACTAGTTGAAGATATTATCTGCAAGGTCGTTCACGCCTCACAGTGGCGGCTTTCATCTGCGGATGAATAACACCTGCCCGATTTGCTGGGCAATGGCGTCGTTTATGAGTACGGTAAGTACAGTTCTGCCTCCTTCCGGCTCTGCACGTGTCCGCGTACCGACTGACGGTGGCGTCCCCCTACCCACGCCGAGTCGACGTTCATAACACAAATTATTGTCTTGAACATTAATATTTCTCGCATTCGCACTTGAAACTCTAAAGACTGGACGGGTTTATTATTTAGAGGAACGAAATATTATTATTTAACTATTTAAGGATAGTAAATATATAAGGGAGAGGAATTAATGTCTCCCCATGGCATTCATTGATGACGTAACTCTATCGTGAGGTAGACGCTATGATTCTAACGCTCTAATCGGCTTTTAGTTAGAGAACAATTCGTCTGCAATCAGTTGTCATGCAGAATGCTTTAATTATGGAGAATCGTATTTAATTCTCACACAAATTGAATATAATGTGTTTTACTGTAAAGAAATCTGACGCAATACTGGCGTCAGGTGAAGTGAGAATTCTAGCCTAATGCACAGATGAATTATTAGTACATGAGAATTCTACGAGTTGTTAATTTTACTTACTACAATATTAATATGGTTAGTAATAAGTAATGAGAATACAACAATGCTGTATTCGATGTTGGAAATATCCAACAACAGGAGGTCACGTTTGGCCTTGACAGGAGGTCACGTGTGGCCTTGACAAGAGGTCACGTGTGGCCTTGACAGGAGGTCACATGTGGCCTTGACAGGAGGTCACGTTTGGCCTTGACAGGAGGTCACGTTTGGCCTTGACAGGAGGTCACGTGTGGCCTTGACAGGAGGTCACGTGTGGCCTTGACAGGTCACGTGTGGCCTTGACAGGTCACGTGTGTCCTTGACAGGAGGTCACGTTTGGCCTTGACAGGAGGTCACGTGTGGCCTTGACAGGAGGTCACGTTTGGCCTTGACAGGAGGTCACGTTTGGCCTTGACAGGTCACGTTTGGCCTTGACAGGAGGTCACGTGTGGCCTTGACACGAGGTCACGTTTGGCCTTGACAGGAGGTCACGTTTGGCCTGACTCGCCGTAATACTTGTCAATTTCATCAAAATTTTATGGCCTCGAGTCTGTTTCCCGACAAAATAAATGTCTTGCGTTGTTACACAATAAAGCATAGAGGCGGATACTGGCGCGTAAACTTTAAACTAAAGTTACCGACGGATTATACGTAGCTGTGAGCCCCTTGGTGGTGCCTGGCGACCAGCGCTTGTCATCCTGGGGCCAGATTCACGAAGCAGTTACGCAAGTACTTACGAACGTGTACATCTTTCCTCAATCTTTGACATCTTTGGTTACATTTAATAAACAGTTTACAAGCATGAAAACTTCCCAATCAACTGTTGTTATTGTTATAAACAGCCTCCTGGTGCTTCGGAGCTCATTAACTGTTTAATAATTATAAACAAAACCTCCAAAGATTGAGAAAAGATGTACAGGTTCGTAAGTGCTTGCGTAACTGCTTCGTGAATCTGACCCCTGATTCTCGCTACTTCCTCTCTTCTGACGCAGGCGCGGGTGAAGCTTCAGCAGAGGAGCTACCTGGAGAGCGAAGAGCTGCTGCAGAAGGTGCTCGACCAGTCCCCCGGCCACCAGGAGGCGCTCTTCCACCTCTCCCTCCTCTACACCCACACCAACCGCACCCAAGACGCTTTCACTCTTGCCCAACAAGCCGCCCACAACTGCTCGAGGCCGCCCTACCTCTGCGCCCGTCTCCACGCCCACTATGGAGACCTCCTCAACGACAGACATAATGTAGATGAGGCCGCCCAGGTAAGATCTTTCATACCGTGAACATTATTAGGACTCTGCAGCAGTTTCTCACAGTTACGAAAATTGTATAAAGGTACCCGACGGTAATAATAAGTTAATAATGAAATACGTCAAGAAGTGACACATACTGCAAGAGGAAATACTACACCAGGGTACATGTACACTATATTATGTTCTAGCAGAGTTACCTGCTAGCAGTGGAGTTGGAACCGACGCTCACCCACCCGCACATCAACCTGGGGGCCCTCTACCACGCTAAGGTCTGTTCCACTTCCCTCTTCAGCTCGTAATAATGCTCATGTCTAACTTTCTTCCCACCACTGGCTCCCTTAACACTGTTTATATCTCCATATTGGCAGTAAGGTGTGGTATAGATACTCTTCGTTGAACGTGACTCAAAATAATGCTATGCCACATTAAAACCAACTCCCCAGATTATTACTTTTATGCCACCGTATAAGGAGTCGTTTGTGATATGATGACTTATGGCCGAACTGATGAACCTTCAAGGTTCTCTCAAGAGTTCATTTACTGTACTGTGGGTTCTTTACATTCACTTGCGCTGGGGTTAAGGCGCCAAGGGGAA